GCCTTTCGTGTCTGGGGCTTTGGCAGCTGGCTCTGAAGTCCCTCTGGAAGCTGCCTTATCACCGACCATGCTCTGGATTAGAAATCTCTCTGGTAAGTTCTGAAACCCTCCAGAAACCACCTATGGATGCGGGACCTGGCTGGGAACCCACCTTCCAGCGACCACAGGTAGTGCTTGACAATGTTGAGCTCCTTCTCCATGTCACCGGGGACAGCTGGGTTGTCTGAGGGCACCAAGCCAAACTGGACCAACAACACCACGATGTCCTTCGTCATTCCCGCCCGCACGATCTGGATGGTGGGAACGAAGGCTACCAGGAGCAGCAGGGCGACCTGTGAAGGAGCAGAGACACGTGAGCCCCGGGTCACGGCATCCCACTGCCGAGCCATCACCTTGGCTTAAAGACTTAGGGCTGGCTGAGCCCTGGGAGCACATGGTCAGTTGGTGCGGCTCAGCAGGGGATGGTAATTCCTTGAGGCACGTTAATACTGTTCCCATAGCCAAAATTGTGGCATGGCAGTGACCTCTGGGCTCCTCTGCCTCGAGAGGACATGGCCAGGAGGCAGGGAAGGGGCTCTGCTTGGCATTTAATCACCAGCATCACCTGGTAGACGGCGATCACAGTCATGGTTATGGACACAACAAGCTTCAGGGGGATCCGGAAACCTATAAGGTAGAATCAGATAGGAGCCAAGATGTGGGATCATGGGGGAAGAAGGGAGCTGGCTGCAGGTCCACCCAACCCAGCAGCCAAAGCAAACACCCCAGGGAAAGCACTGAAACAGGATGGTTAATATTAGTCGGGATTTGCACAGGGAAATCCTGTGTGGATATGTAGCTGAGAGTGGTTTCTCTGTACTTTGGCTCTATGGGTCCATCCTCCTTTTCCATGAAATCTTTTGTGCCCACAGCACCAAATGCCAGCAGCTGCATGCCATGGCCCCTGGGCTGCCACCTCCTGGGACACCCCCTGCTTCTTCCATGGGAGAGAGAGCAACACATAGCTCCCCATTCCTGGTCTATTAGGGATTTAGTCCACTTATTGCAGATTTTATTCCCTTATCACAGCCTTATCAAGCACCAGGCTGTTTATATTCTTCCCTATGAGGGTGGTGAGGCCCTAGCACAGGCTGCCCAGAGAAGCTGTGGCTGCCCCATCCCTGGAAGTGTACAAGGCCAGGTTGGACAGGGCTTAGAGCAACCTGGGATAGTGGAAGGTGTCCCTGCTCATCCCTGCCCACCCAGGGCTGGACAATTTTTGAGGTCCCTTCCAACCCAAGCTCTTCCATGATTCTGTGCTATTGGCACAACCTGTGCCTGAACCTCACTGCCTCAGCCCACCCATGTCCCCCGGGGGCGCGGGGGGTCCATGTCCCCACCCCACACGGCCGCGGTCTGTGCCGAGCCGAGGCGTCGCTCGCGTGGCGCGTGGCAGCTGCCGTGGCACAGATGCTTTGGGGCAGGAGCCAAGAAAGGCATTTGCTGTCCCTGGGGAAGGGCAGGCAGCCTGTCTGCCGAGCTGCTGCTGCGGCCAGGAGAGCACCCCCAGCCCACCTTCCTCAGGAGTGTAGATGTAGGAGCATAAATACGTCTGGATCCTTGAGAGGAGGCTCTCTTCTATCTTCGCGGAGCTGGAGGAGGAAGGACAGGGTGAAGAGCATGTCCTTTGGGACAGGGAGCCTCTCTGTCCCATTGCAGGGCTGACACAGGTGCTCGCTGAACTGGCAGTGCCATGGGAAGGTGCCATCCTTACCTTCCCTTCCGAGGGCGTTTGGACAGGACAGCCTTTAGGTACTTCTTGTAATACCCTCTCCCTGTAACCTTGAGGAAAGCAGCGATAAGTTGCCTGATTTCAGCACAGGAACTCTGATCTGGGGGGGCAGAGCATCTGCATCCCACCCAGCATCCATCTCTTTGCTCTACTATCCCTGGCCACCCACCCATCACTGGCATCTCTGTATGAGATGCAGGTGATGACTTTCCAGCTCTCGTTTTTGCAAGGAATATGTTGGAACAGATGTGGGCAGCAAATCTTCTGGTACAGCAAAGGTGGAAACAAACCTGCCTTGTTCCCATCAACAAAGCAGCCCAAAACCAGACACACCGGTAGGACGGCTGAAATCTCTCCTTCCCATCAGCCAGCTCCCAGTAAGTGCCTGGGGGGTCACTTCAGGCCACACTTGGGCTGGCTTTTTCCTTTGTTTTGAAGTAGGTTTTTCCTCCTCTCTTCCCAACAAAGCCCCGGCACTTCTCAAAGGGCCAGGGATTATCCAGCCTGCTGGGAAAACAAGGCGACCCCAGTCCCGGCCTGAAGGGGAAGCATTGATGCCTTAAGCCTCTTGTACTAAGGAGTTTACTCCAAAGATGGATTTTTCACTCCCTTTTCAAATCCAGTGTTATAAACAGAGTCAATTCCAGTGCCTGAGCAAAGTGGGGAACACGTGCACTGGGAGCACCCCAGATCTCCTGATCCCCCAAGGCAGCGGGGCAGGAAAGTCCCCAAAACCATGCTGGTCCCTCCAGGGGTTCTCCCTGAGTTGCCCCATGGGTCTTCATTACCTCCTTATCCAAGGTCTCCTCCTGGACGGTGAAGCTCCTGACGAGCAGGGCTGGATACCAAAGGCTTAAGAGGACAAGGCAGAGGATGATGGGGATGTACGAGAGTGTGGAGTAGTACCTGTATATCTGGGGGGGAGCAGAGATGTCACATGGCACCACCCCAGCCCGGGGGTCTAATCCCGGGTGGGTGACACCATGGTGTCACTCCAAGGAGGTTGTAAGAAAGCCACCTCCAGGCTTTGGCCAGCTCTCCGCTCCTTCCCCAGGAAGTGGGACACACACCTTTGGTGACTGAGGACAATCCACCTTCTGCCAGATGTGGACCACGCAGTGGCACCAGGACAGCAGGCAGCCCACCAGGTAGCTGAGCCTGTGCCGGACGGTGGCACAGGCGATCAGGGGGTAGTAGAAGGCTGGGTAGTAGAGCAAAGCCATGATCTTCCAGTACTCTGGGCGGTGGGATGGAGGGAAGAGGGAAGGGAGAGCAAAACACGCAAGAGAAGGCAGCACCGTCAGTATGGACCAGAGCGAACAGGGTGCTCAGGGTGTCCCCTGGGCTGGGTGGGGAGGGGCCAGGAGGGTGCTGGCCTTACCCCGGGTGCTCTGGGAGGAGTGGGAGATGAATGGCAGAGGGTCCCTGTCCAAGACCAGCACGCACAGGGAGGAGAAGAGGATGCCGAACACCGCAGCCACCAGCCCTTGGTTGCCTTCCTCTTCCAGAAAGTTGGCTGGGCTGCAAGCCAAGGAAGGAATGAGCCTGACACCAGATTGTGGGCACTGTGTCCTCTTGCCAAGCTGGTTTAGCTCCTCCTGCCACCCCCTTGGCTGCATGGTGACAGGGACCCCGAGGGCTGGGGCGCAGGGCCAGGGTACCTGAGCAGTCCTGGGACACCGTTCCAGCAGCTCTGGTGGAGACGCCTGCGCTTCACCAGCAAGGACAAGCCCAGGAGCACGGCCAGCTGCCAGGAACACAACCAAGGGAGCAGTAAATACACGGAGGGGAAGTCTGGGGCATGATGCTGTGTGATGGGAGCCTCCATGGAGACATGATTTCCCACCCTACTCCCTAAACCCAGCCATGGCTGAAGCAGGGACAGGCACTTCTCAACCTGCCTGGAGGAGTTAGAGGCTCTAAGTGTCTCAGAGGGAACATACTGGGAAAAAATAAAAGGAAATCATAGAACTATGGAATCATTTAAGTTGAAAAAGACACCCAAGGTCATCAAGTCCCACCATAAATCAAAACCTTCCATTGACTACAGGTACAGAACAAGGTCTGGAGAGGTGTGAGTGCTTTCCAAAAGCATCCCAGCTCCAGCTGTAGAGTTCAGCCCTGATAACTGAGAGGGTATGACCCAAATTGGGGGACAGCAAACAGGATATTGGGGCAGATAACTCACCCTGTGGTACTAGTCAGGTACTTACAGAGATGGGTGCCATGCAGATGTGATACATTCTGGGAGAAACAGTGGGCTCACAGTCTGGGATTACAGCAGGAAACATGCTAGAAAGAGCAGGGGGAAAATCATGTGTGGTTGTTCTTAGCCCCAAAAGGGAAAAGCAAAGGTGCTGGGGTGACAGCCACGCACACGGCACAGCGGAGATGTCTGTCTGGAATAAACCTCCCAAGTGCTGCGTTGCACAACCCTCAGTAACCAGGGATGAAGTCACCCTCCTGAGATGATTTTATGACCAAGAGGGAGAGATAACCCCCAGCAGAGGCCTCAAGCTGAGCCCCACAGGGACTGGGTAATCTCCTGCATGTACCAGGACAGCGAGACAGAACAGTTCAGCGAGGATGGATGAAACCCTGCCTTTGCCTCTTTTACACCCATGTCCCTTCTGGCTCTGGCTTCTCAGGGAATGCAGCAGTTCTTCCTGCCTAAGGCACTGCACTCCAGCTGGGAGGCTGCTTGTAGGACGTTTTGATACCTTTCCCATGGGAGAGGGACCCGTCCCACAGCTTGGGATGATGGAGGAGACGGCTGCCTGGGGTCCCAGAGCTGCTCTCCCTCAGCCAAGGCCAGCCGAGCAGACGTCAGGCTTGGCTTTATTTATTCATTCCTGGCCTCTGTTACATCCCTTAATCTCTGCTTTGGCACAGCCCTCCTCCTCTCCCCAAGGTCAGGCACGACTGTGCCCAGACACCCTCACCCAACACTGGGCAGCAAATCCCTGTGCTGGAGAGCTGAACCCCCCTTAAGGCCCATAACTCACATGTGGGAACCTCCTGAACCCCATAACTTACAGGGGAAGACACCCCCCCCCAAAGCCCTTCTGCCCTCCCGAACCCCACAGCTCCAATGGGGTGGGCAGAGATGGGAGCTCCCACGAGCAAGCCTGCAAGGAAGGGTCTAATAGAGAAATTGGGATTTTCCAGGCATCATATGTCCAAGCCTGTCACCAAACTGCCACAAAAAGGCTTTATAGGACCAGCTGCCAGTGACTGGCCTTGGATAGACCAGAAAATTCCTACTGTCCAAAAATATCCAGGCTCAAGAAATCCTCCTGGCATGATTGAGAGCACAGGGACACCAAACACCTTTTGGATATCACCAAGGCTTCAGCATCTAAATCCAGAGCATCCAGAAGCCATCAGGTGGGCAAATCTTCCAGTGCTGCCTCCATCTCTTCACTGACCATGGCTTGGAGGACACCCAGAAAATATCCCTGGAAAGATTCTAGCAAAGGTGGAGGTCACACAGGTGGGGCTTCACCTGGGGAAACCAAGGCTGGGCAAGGAGATTTCAAAGCCTGTTTCACAATGAGAAAGATAAGGGATGAGAAGGAACCCTTTGGGCTGGGATCCCCTCCTGGTTAGGATTAGGTACCCATCCGTGGAGGACTAAGTCAACAGAGGGACAATAGATCCTGATAGATGGGCCTTGGGATGCCTGACTTTGAGCCTTGGGGACATGTTGGATAAATTGCCCTGCTGCTCCATGCCTCAGTTTCCCCTCCCATCGGGAGTTCTCTTGTCCTTGGGAAGGGCACTGAACTAGGAGGGCACAAAGTCCTGGGTCTTTGCTCCAAGGTTGGGCCCTGGGGTCCCATCCCCGTGGGAAACACAGCACTGCCCTTTGGAATACACTCAGTTAACGAGTGGATCATCATGGATGGGGAGGGAATAGGCTTTACAGGACCCATGGATACACTAATTTGAAGGGAGAGGGAGAGGACATCCATGCAAGCCCAGAGATGCTCAGCCCTATTTTGCAAGTAAGAAACCTATTCAGGGTCACCGTGCCATGCAGGAACCTGTCAGAGTGTCCAAGTAGATTGGGCTGTGCTGCCAACTTTCCTCACTCCCAGCCAAAATCTGCACGGATGCTGGCAGAGAACTGGGACGGGATTAAGGCTGTGTCATGAGGATGGCTCCAAACCCAGAATCATGGAGTCAGAGCAGCCAGGGAAGTCTCTGGGACCTTCAAGGGGGTCAGGGCAGCAGGTGAACCCCATGCACTTGACTTTGAATTTTGGGGAAGGTTGAGGAAAAGCGAGGGTAACTAGCAGAGATGCCCAGTGCAGGATTTACCCCAGACTTTGCCAGGGGCACTTGGAAGAAATTAAGCAATTTAAGGGGCCAAAAGGAGCCTCTTAAATCACCTCGCCCGGACACAAATCCCAGCTCTGCTGCTCTGGGGATGTTGCTCTGTGGAAAAGGGGATAGAGCAGCTGGGAGGAGGTTATCCGATCCCAGCAGGGACAGGGGGACATGTGGCACCTGCCAGTGGGGCTGTACACTTACTCATCCTGTGGCACGGCCGGCTCCATGGTTTCGTAGATGTACCAGTTGGAAAGGAGGTCGTCATCGCTGACAAGGCTGCTGTCCAGGAGAGCATCGTGCATCCCACCGGAGCCGTTGGCTGCCATGGCCGTCTCCTTCCTCCCCCTGTGGGCTGGAGAGAGACGGCGAGAGGCAGCAGAGGCAGAAGGTGACCGGGTTTGCACAAGGTGGGCCCTCCCGGGCGCTTGGAAATGCGGGATGGAGGCGTTGAGCCAGGAGGCTTTATCTTCTCGGGTCACTCCCGCAGCCGGGGGAGGACCGGGAGCTTTCAAAATCCGGCTGTGCCCCCAAGGATCCAGCTTTTATCTGGACTTGGAGGAGGGATAAGGGGCGAACACCCTCCCCCGCCGCACATCCCGAGTGCTCAGGGCACACCTAATCACCGCGGCCGCTCCCTGCCCGCCGCGGGACGCTGATAGACTTGGAGCCTTTGTTTGGGTTGTTTAACAGTTTTTACGCCGACGATTTGAAAACCAGCGCAAGGGTCAAGTTTTGGGCTCGGCTGCTGAAAGGGGGATGAGATCTGACCATGATCTGTGTCCCCGGTGTCCCTCTGTGCCACCGGATGCTCCTCATGACATTCAGCCTCCCCCAGTCCCTCTCCCTCTGCAGCAATAAAAAGGAAGGAGGATTTGCCGTGGTGCCAGACCCAACAGGCTCTCGTTTCTCCTTCTCCCAATTATTTTTTGATGATTTTGGCCCGGACAGCCCCACACCCTCCACTGCTGTCCCAGAGCTACACTGCACAAGCTGTAACATGCCTCATCTACCACTGCTGTCAGAAAGGCAGTGCCCAAAGACATCTCCAAATGCCAGGCAGCAATGCTTGGTGCAGCCTCCAAGCCCTGGGAACAGCCCAGGACCTTGGGAAACCCCATCCTACAGCTCAGGGATGTCACCAAACTCCCGCAGGGCTCCTCAGTGGGATGGGTGGGAGATGGATGACTGAGCCAGCAGCTTTGCTCTGGGCTGTTGTTTGTACAGCTGGTGTTCACCAGGGACCATGGTGGGTCCAGCACAGCTTCAAAGAGATTCTCCAGATCAGGGTTACAGCCCTGCAGGCAGCCCTGGCTCTGACAGACAAGTGGCACTTGTCACCTTGTCACCATGGCCACACTGCCCGATGGACATCACATCCCCCAGTCAGGTTTTCCAGGGACTCTCTCTATGTCAGGGTGCAAGGCCTGGGATCTTCACCTCCCTTCCCAGAGCACCACAACTCAGCTAGAAAGAAGATCCTCCCACTCCACCTTTTGGTCCCAATCCAGATGCCACCACCATCCCATGGAAGGATGGACCCCCCCAACCCCATCCAACTGGGATGAATCCCAGCCCCCCATCCCTGACTGTCCTGTCCATCCGGACATTCCTGAGTGTCCCAGCCTCAAGGAATCGACTCTCCAGCCATCCCTTGGTTTCGCCTGTGCAGGGAAGCAGCTCTGACCTCACCTCCCAGGAATGTAGCACTCCGTAAAAAGGTAGAAGGAGCCTGTAAAGTTCATGGCAGTGCACACACAGGTCTGGAAGCCCCATTCCCCTCCTGTGGGGTCACCAAAGGCTGGCAGGGTTTGAAAGCAGGGGATGGGATTTAGACAGGTAAAGCAAGCCATGCCAGCCTTGGAACGGGGGAGCATCCTGAGAATGCAGCATCAGGATAAAGAATCATCTCCAAAAGCCACACTGGGATTGTCCATGTCCCCCTCTCCTCCCCCTGGCATCACCCAAAGAAGGACAATGAGCAGAAACAAGATGCATCTTCCCACCAGCCCAGCCAGGCAGCATTATCACTGTGATCCACCACTGATGCCACCTTACCAATGCCTGGATTTGCAGCCACTCGGGGACATGGAGGCCAGAGAAAAGCAGGAAGGGATGGAGAGAAAGGCTCCATGAGATGCCTGATGCACACAACTCTCAGCAGGCAGGCAGCAATGTCTCAAGATTGAACTGACAGTTTCTTTGGGTGGTGTGTCATACCCCCTTCCAAAACATCCTGCTTGGAGTATCACACACACCTGGATCTCGGAGCTCCACTGCCCATTCCTGTCTGAGTTTGGAACCAAGATGAGTCAACACTGTCTCAGCACCAGGTGATCTTCAAGTCCTCCAGTTCCACCCACTCATCCTCATGAGGTGGGTGCTGTCCTGTTCCAGGAGATAGTCTCCTCTTGTGGTCTACCACGCAGGGTGGCAACATCTGGGTCACCATTTGTGAAAGGTCTGGAGAAACCAGGAGGTGCTTCAGAGCCTCCAACCTGTCTGCTGGACACCATCAGCCAAGCCACGATGGTGTGACACAGGGTACATCCCAGCCTGGACACCAATGCATCTCTTATTGCCAGGTGCTGGAGGAGAGACCTAACTGGGGGCGGGTATTTTGGCTGGGGAGAAGCATTCCATGAGGGCTTCCAGCCTCACATGGAACAGGGAAGGGTTAACTCCCTATTTACTGTGGGGATGGTGAGGCCCTGGCACGGGTTGCCCAGAGAAGCTGTGGCTGCCCCATCCCTAGAAATGTCCAAGGCCAGGCTGGACGGGGCTTGGAGCAACCTGGGATAGTGGAAGGGGGTTGGACTAGATGATCCTTAAGGTCCCTTCCAACCCAAACCATCCTATGATTCCTGCTCAGGCTGCAAATCCCGGTGTCCCAGGAGAGGAGGGGCAGGTGTGCCAAAAGCTCAGCGGGATCAGCATCCCCAGCCAGGGCAGGGCCCCAGCTCTCCACCCAGCTCGGCGGGCGCCGGCTCCTCCAGCCCGGGCTGAGCCAGGAGCTCTCTGGCTTTGCAGCCCCCCCATGCCCCGGGTTTCCCCGAAACCCGATCTCTTTGCTCCTCTGTGTAACCTCTGCCGAAACAGGCTGGGCCTTTGATCGCAGCAGCCTCGCCCGAGATTGATGGGCTCAATAAAGCTCCTTCATATTCCTCATTTCCCACTATCCATCACTCTCCGGGGAGCTTTTGCATCCCACCATTATGAATTAAACTGGGAGGGGAGGAAGGGAGCCATAAGGGAATTACCCCTCTTCCCTCCTCCCATCCAGCCTAATGGTGATGCCTTGTGTACAGCTTTTAATAAAAATGATAAAGATCTCATTTCACAATTGTTCAGGGAGCCCTTGGGCCGGGGGAAGAAGGGGGGGCTGTTTAAGCAAGACCTCCTCTAATTCAATTGCTTGTTCAGGAGCCGCGCCGGGACCTGCGAAGCCAGGTGGCACAGGGGTGGCTTTGGAGGGCGTCAAAAAGAGGATGGGCTTCCCAAAGGTGGATTTAGCAGCTTCAGATGATGCCTGGAGAGGCAAAGCCTGAACTGTCATTGGCACAAACCAAGGCAGCCAACTGCAGCCCCAAACTCCACTAAACTCAGTGTTCCAGCCCCAAAAATGAGGTGAGAAAGGTTGGTTTGCAGCCACTTGTGCTCAGCTGGGAGGGACAAGGGGACAGTTGGTCCCATCTGTTCCCTCCACCAGTGACTCTGGAGTCCTTCAAGCCCCAAAGATGCCCCAGCCAGCCCTTGCTTTTTGAAGACTTTCTGGAAAAGCAGAGCTGTCTCCAAGTTCTCCAAACACAAGTGACAAGGAGCCCACACACACCCTGGACCCTCCAGCTGGATGCTGGGGCCTCCGGGAAGTCGCTCTCCACCCTTCCCCCCGGGGACAGCCTCAGTCCCAGGGTGCTGAGAACGCTGAACTCATTGCACTGATGAGTGGATGTGGGGAAGCCTGACGAGTGGATATGTGGTGAACTCTCCTTATCCCATCATGAAAGCCCCGGGGGCAGGGAAGGGTCCGGAGGAAGTGTTTCATCCCATTGTGACAACATTTTCCTCCCTCCTCCCAGCTCCGGCTGGTTCTCAGCTGACCCAAGTCCCGTCCCCACCCCACCCCCTCAGCTCCTCCGCCCCCCATCCCCTCTAAATCCCTCCAGCACCTCGACTTCCACCACCCGGAGAGAGCCGTGGAGCTGCTCCAATGCTTCACAAACCCTCTCCCTTCGCAGAGCTGGAGCTTGCAGATAATAAATCCACAGCAGAGATCATAAACAAACTCACCAGAAAGGCAAAAAAAGCCCCTTTTTGCATTTTAAAAGCAAAGGCAGCTTAAACGTTTAAGCCAAGGAGGCTGTTTAAGCTTATTTTTAGGCTCCTGACCCCCATCCTTGGTTCTTCGTTTCAAAGCAAAGGCAGCAGCACCTGCTGCTCAGAACCCCCAGAAGCCAGGAAAGGGGAAAAGTTTGGAGGATCACAGCAAAACCTGCTGGCACAGTCATCCATCGGTGTGGGAAGCAGTGCTGGGGGAATCCAAGGCAGAGCACCCTATAACCTCTGCTCCTCTGCTGCTGGGGGAAGGAGCATCCCCCAGGAAAAGCAAATCTGGAGGTAAAACCCCTGCTGAAGGGCAGAGCTGGGATTTGGCAGGGGGTCTGCACCCCCCAGAGCAGGATTTGACTCTCTGTAAGTACACAGGAGCCGCATTTACAACCTGGAGCAATCAGCTCCGCGGTGTAAACCCGGCTCCCCCCCCCGCCACGCCAAGTCTGAAGAAGAAACAACAGAAGAGGGGTGGGAAAAGAGGAAAAGCGACCAAAATAAAGTTACCTTCTTCCAGTCGGCCACCTCCTTGGAAGGCACCTAGAGGCTCAGCTGGGCAGGGGTCTCTGGAGCAGCGTGGCCTTGCTAAGCGGGGACTAAAGCACTGGCTGGCGGGGGTCGGGCGTGGATGCAGCCATGCAAACCCAAACGCAAAGTTCAGAGCACTGGCGAGTGAACGGAGGCTCGCGGTGGCTCAGGGAACTTTATCCCCTCCATCGCCAGGAGGCCTTGGCTGGGGGCCACCCTGGGGTTTAGAAAATTAAAAGCAACCAACCCCGTGCTCGGCTCTCCCTTTGATTCGGCAGAGCTTTTCGGGAGAGGAGGCAGCTTGAGCCAGCCCCCTTCTTCCACAGCGCTCCGCCGGCCCAGCTGGGGTTTAACTGCTCCCTCCACGCTGAAATTTAGGGGGAAACCCGGGGATAGAGATGCTGCTGCATGCCTGCCTCGGGATGAAAACGTCTCTCCTTCCTCCCAGGATAAAACAAAGGACCAGCTCCTG